CTCTGTATCTATTGATATGATATATGGTTTTCATCTTTTTTGTTTATATGCTGGATTATGTTGATTTATTTCCAAATGTTTAAACCATCCTTTCATCCCAGCTATAAATCCCATTTGGTCGTGGTGTATGATCTTTTTAATGAGTTGTTGAATTCTATTTGCTAGTATTTTGTTGAGAATCTTCGCATCTGTGTTCATCAGGGATATTGACCTGTAGTTTTCTTTTCTTGTGGTATCCTTGATTCCTTTTGGTATTAGAGAGATATCACCCTCATAGAAACTCTTTGGGATAGTTTTTGTTTCTTCAGTTTCCTGGCCATGTTGAATGTATGCAAGGCAAACGCCCTACCGCTGTGCGAGCGATAGCACAGCGGTAGGGCGTTTGCCTTGCATGCAGCCAACATGGCCGACCCGAGTTCGATTCCTCCACCCCTCTCGGAGAGCCCGGCAAGCTACCGAGAGTATCTCACCCGCCCGGCAGAGCCTGGCAAGCTCCCCGTGACGTATTTGATATGCCAAACACAGTAACAACAAAGTCTCCAATGGAGACGTTACTGGGCCTGCTCGAGCAAATCGATGATCAACGGGAGGGCCTTTACTTTACTTTACTTACAATTTCGTGGCAAAGCTTGAGAAGAACTGGCAGTAGGTCCTCTTTCAATATTTCAAAAAATTCACTAATGAATCCATCTGGAACTTGGCTTTTGTTTTAGGGAAGACTTTTGACTACAGTTTCAATTTCCTTGATATTAATGGGTCTATTCAGGTACTCTAGATCTTCTTAATTCAGCCTGGATTATAGGAATACAGGAATTTATCCTTTTCTTCTAGGTTCTCTAGTTTTGTGCCATATAGACTTTCAAAGTAGTCTCTGATGATCTTCTGAATTTCTTTGGTTTCTGTTGTGATGTCCCCCTTTTCAATTCTGATTTGGTTTATTAGAGTTTTCAATCTCTCTTTATATGTGAGTTTTGCTAGTGGTTTATCAATTTTGTTTATTTTCTTTAAGAACCAGCTCTTGGTTTCATTGATCTTTCAGATAGTTTTTTGGGTTTCCATGTCATTGATTTCTGTCTAAGTGTTATGGTCTCTTTCCTTCTGCCTGGTTTGGTCTCCTTTTGTTGTTCCTTTTCTAAGATCTTGAGCTGTGAAGTCAAGTTGTTTATGTGGGCCTTTTCTTCCTGAGAAATTCTTGCAGAGCTATAAATTTCCCCTTAATACGGCTTTAGCTGCATCCCACATGTTCTGGTAGCTTGTGTCTTCATTCTCATTTGTTTCCAGGTATCTTTTGATTTGTTCCTTGATTTCTTTCATGACCCACTCGTTCAATATTGAGTTGTTTAATTTCCAGGTTTTTATTTGGTTTTCTGCATCTTTACATGATAACTTCTATCTTCAGTGCTTCGTGGTCTGAAAAGATAGTTGATAGAATGTCTATCTTCCTGATTCTGTTAAGGTATTCTTTGTGGCCCAGCACATGGTTTATTCTAGAAAATGTTGTATGTGCACTGGAAAAGAATGTGCATTTTTTAAGGGGAGGGTATATAAATTCCTGTATAGATCTATTAGCCCTCTCTCTTTTATTTCTTGTTTCAGAGTCATTATTTTCTTGCTGAGTTTTAATCTTCTTGATATATCCAGAGGTCATAAGTCAGTGTTGAAGTCTCCAAGTACTATTGTGTTGCTCGCAATGTCCTTCTTAAGGTCTGTTAGCAGTTGTTGTGCTTGGCTAGTCCCTCACTGAGTGCATATGCGTTTAGGAGTGTGATTTCTTCCTGCTGTATATAAATAAATAATAATAAAGGCCCTCCCGTTGATCGTTGATTTGCTCAAGCAGGCCCAGCAACATCTCCATTGGAGACTTTGTTGTTACTGTGTTTGGCATATCGAATACTCTCGGTAGCTTGCTGGGCTCTCCGAGAGGGGCAGAGGAATCGAACTCGGGTCGGCCATGTTGGCTGCGTGCAAGGCAAACGCCCTTACTGCTGTGCTATCCCTCCAGCCCTGCTGTATATATCCCTTATTAATAAAAAATGGCCTTCACTATCCCTTCTAATCTTTTTCAACCTGAAAACTATGTTGTCCTATACTAGTAGGGCTACCCCAGCTTTCTTGAGGGGATTGTTTTCCATCCTTTGCCTTTGAGTCTGTGTTTGTTCTGACTGTTCAGATGTGTGTCTTGTAGGTAATAAAATGTTGGGTTCAGTTTCTAAATCCATTCTGCCACTCTGTGTCTATTAATTGGTGAATTTAGACCATTGACGTTGAGAAAGATTATTGTCATGGGGTTTGCATCATCTTTCTGTAAGAGTTTGTTGTGCTTCTAGGGGGTTCTCTTGTCTTACAGTAGCCCCTTTAGCCCTTCTTTTAGGTTTGGTTTTGAGTCTATGAAACTCCTGAGCTGTTGTTTATCCACAAAATAATATACGTTCCTTCGAGTTTGAGTGTGAGCCTAGCTGGATAAAGTATTCTTGTTGAAGCGTTCATTTCATTGAGCTTTTTTCCTATATCCCACCATTGTCTCTGGGCTTGGAGGATTTCCTCTGATAGGTCTGCTGTGGATCTAAGGGGTGCTCCTTTGTATGTGATTTCCTTCTTTGACCTTGCTGCTTAAAATATTGTGTCTCTATCAGTGGCATCCCTCATTCTAACTATGATATGTCTTTGAGTGTTTTTGTTAGTGCCTCTTTTAGCTGGCGCTCTTCGGGCTCCTTGAATCTGGATGCCTGCACCTCTGGGAACTTTTCAGCAATGATTTCTTTCACTGTGGCATTTTCATTGGGATTGCTTCCCTGACCTTCTGATACTCAATGATTCTAATGTTGTTCCTCTTGAAATCATCCCCTACAACTCTGATTCGCTCCAGAGCTATTTTGAGGTCTCTTCTCATTGTTTGTTGTTGCCTGTAGGCTTCCTGCAGTTCATCTTCCAGCTCACTATTTCTGTCTTCGGCTGTAGCCATTCTACTGTTGACGGTACACACTGAGTTTTTTATTTCATCTCCCGAATTCTTTGTGACACTTCTGTGCTTATCTTTTCAATTTCTGCTCTCATTTCTTCCTGTAATTTCTTGTTTCTTCGATGCATTGTTTCTTCCATGTCCTTTTTTAATTTACTGGATATCTGCCCCACCGTTTCTTTGAGTTCATTGAACATCTTCAATAGTTCATCTCTAAATTCTTTATCTAAGAGCTCACATTTGTCTGTGATGCCTGTTGAAGCTTCTGGACTCTTTTCATCGTCCTCTCCTTGTGGTGGGGATTTGCACTTTCTTCGTGTTATTGTGGTTTTATGTAGACTGAAATGTGACACCAGATTTCTGGGTGTGGGTAAAACAACTGGGAACACGTGAACAGCTGCTGACCCCAAAATAGACCACGCCCAGTTCTGCAGAGCCCATGCCCACCTCCGCACAGGGGACTCCCACTTCTGCATGGGCCACCCCCTACTGGTACCTGGGAGAGGGAGAAAACTGGCTGGGGCATTGGAGACGAACAGGACGGGGTGCTGGGGCTTTGTATTTTCTTCTTATGATTCCACTGTGTCTCCTTTTGTCGTGTACATTATGATAATGTATAGTTTCTGATCTTGGTTTGCATATTTTTCTGTTCTGTAAGCATAAACTTATGATTCCACAGTGTAAGACAAATACTGATTAAGTAGTACAGGTGAGTACTGAACAAGCAGTTTATATTTCAAGATTAGTGTCAGCAGAGTTCTTCCCATGTTGCCTTAGAGAGAGAAAATAGGAACATCAGAACCTAGTAGAAGCACCTGTCTTCTCACAACATGGGCAGAAATATTTCCATTACTCCGTGGGAGCACACACAAGAGCAGTCTCGGGAGTGCTCACAGAGTGCACTCGGGTTTTCAGGCATGAGTCTGTGATTAATCCAAGTATTGTGTATTTATTTTTGGTGACATCAATTAGGATGCAGATTAGGTTCTTTCTATTCAACCACCTTCTTTATCCATAGTTATTGTGTGCAACAGAAACTAATGCTGGCGACTTAAACAAGAAATTGTTTTCTGAGAAGAGGTCGAATAATTCAGTAACACAGTGAGTTTAAAAACAGATAAAAAATGGGAAGAGGGAAGCCACTATAGCACATAATTTTTTTTAAATACTATAGAATGCAGGAGTTCCCCAGGACAAAGGAGATTTTGCTCAGCCTTTCCTCCAGCCACTAAATGCTGAGTATTGCTCCCACACTAACATTGCGTGGACATAGAATGTCCTTTCTTGTCCTGCTTCTTTATCCCATTGTCTCCTCTCTCCAAGTCTAGTGTGGTGCATGAGTACATCAACTGCAGGGGAAATTGGTGGACAAGAAAAAACGTTTGTACCCTCTGCCTTGGGAAATGAGTTCTTTCTTCCCGGAATCGTTAAGCAACAATATCACCAAAAGTAACAAGGGAATTGAAATTCTTATTAAAGTCCCTCACGATGACCAAAAATGACCAAATTCCTGTCCTGAGTCCAATTTTGTTTGTGGCATTTTCCTTGGGTTAATTATTTTGTTTGGGAGAAGAAACACTGGCGGGGTGGGGCAGGGTGGGGAGGACACACCGGGTGGTGCTCAAGGCTTGCTCTTGGCTCCATGCTCCGGGCCTCTCTGGGTGGGGCTCAGGAGACATGCACATGCCAAAGTTCAATCCCAGGTCAGCATGTCCAAAGCAAGTGCCTTGACTCCTGTCCTGCTTCTCTGGACTGTCAGTCACCTAAATAAAAATTCACTCTTGTTCTGAAATATTTTAGAAGTTCTAAGGTTATCATGTACATTTTATTCATTTTCTAGTATGTTAATTATCCAAGCTATCCTTAAATAACATTTCTTTCAAATAAAATATCTTCAGAAATAGATTCAACTGGTGTTTTACACAAATTTTTCAAAACATAAAATCAAATTTTGTATATATCTATTTCTTGAACTTTCATACTGTTTGTTACTTCTCTTTAATCATACATTACTGAGTCTGGATGGTCCTTTCCTCTGCAGTATTTTTGAACAGTGGCTCCGGAGGCACCGCCCTCTTCAGGAAGTCTACCCGGAGGCCAATGCACCTATTGGACATAACCGAGAATCCTACATGGTACCTTTTATACCACTGTTCAGAAATGGAGATTTCTTTATTTCATCCAGAGATCTGGGCTATGACTATAGCTATCTACAAGACTCAGGTAAAATCCATTTTTCCCCATACGAATTACTGAATCTAATGAACCATTTTGAAAATGCACAAAATATTGTTCTTAAAATGTTTTCTCTGTGGGGGCTGGAGCGATAGTACAGCGGGTAGGGCATTTGCCTTGCATGTGGCCGGCCAGGGTTCGATCCCCAGCATCTCATATGGTCCCCCGCAGCACCGCCAGGAGTAACTCCTGAGTGCAGAGCCAGGAGTAACCCCTAAGCATTGCTGTGTGTGACCGAAAAAAGCAAAAAAAAAAAAATGCTTTCTCTGAGCACTTCAAATTGAAAAAATATGTTACAACATGTAACATATTGCTAATTTATAAGTAGATGAACCATGCTTCAAACGTACTTCATTTTATATCCATTCTTATTAATATGGTCGTTCTGTACTTGGCCACTAGGAGAAAAGCACAATTTAAATAACAAGAGAAAAATTTTTGAGACCACTGAGTGACCTTGGGATATTTTACTTTAATTCCCTAAATATTATTTTCATAACTCATTCTGAGATCAGACTTCCTCAAAATGTTACTGTGAAAATTAAAAACCAATATTCTAATGATACTGGTATAGCACAGAAAAAGATAAAGACATTTTAGCATTATGCTTTAAACTTCTTCTAAGGTGAACAGTAAAAAAAATTATTTTAAGCTTAAACTTAATAAAAATGATGGTAATATTGTCATAATGATAATTGCCATGGCTATAACTATGATAGTAGTAGTTACATCCAGTCTACATAATACTACTGAGCATGTCAGCATTATCTTGATACATTAAGAACAGATAGTTATGTTTCCTAATACTCCTAATACCTAGGAACTTGCCACATGCATATTTTACAACCATGTTAATAATCATATATTTATGTATTACATATAGAGAGAGGTGAAATACAATTTCAATTTGAAGATGGATGATTGGGGAAATAAATATTCTCAATTAAGTGTAAATCTTATTTATTATTTAGTGAAGAGTGATACCACATAGCCAACATAGGATAGGGCTTACCAGCATAAAGTGAGGCTTAAGTAAAAGTGATTCTTTTGGGGAGCTGTTGAGATTGAACAACAGGTAGAGCACTTGACTTGCACAGGGCCCACTGGATTGGATCCCCAGTAACGTATATGATCCCCTAAGCCTTCCATTAATGATCCTTGAGTGCAGAGCCAAGAGTAAGTCCTGAATACTGCTGGACATAGCTCAATAAATAAGTAAATAACAACAAAAGTTATTTTTTTCAAAATTTAATTCTTGATGTTTTAAACATGTAATATGAAACATCTGTAAAAGCCAAGTGGCAACTTGAGCCTCTCTCCAGCCCTGTAACCAGGCTAGATCCACTGCCCTCAGAGGGTCCTGGGGCGCCCCTGCTGGACTGTGGAGGGAAGCCTAACAGCAAGGAGCTGCAGAGCCTTGAAGCTAATTTTCCAAGAAGCAATTTAACAACTTTCTGAAGACAGAACAAAATTCACAAACATGTTACAGAGGGATGGAAAAACTACTCAGGACAATGAGTTCACTCCATATCGATGTGATGTATGCAGCAAAAAGATATACAGAGTGGAAGAATGAGCAGGAAGTTAAAAAATTATACAAAAGTTGTGAGAGAGACAGAGAGAGACAGAGACACAGAGAAAGAGAGAGAGAGAGAGTGAGTGAGAGAGGGAGAAAGATGGCAGTTTCTTAATGATGGTAGTTTCTTAATGATCAAGGAATATCACAGTATGAACAATTAATAGTTCTAAACATTTATGCACCTAATGAGAGACCTTAAGCTTATGTTTCAAACAACTGCTAACAGACCTGTGATTACTGATAGAAACTCAATAGTATTTGGAGACTTGAACACAACTTTATCACTTTTGTGTTTATCAACTGGACTAAAAATCAACAAGAAAACTCAGCCTTTGAAGGAAGAAGTAGAAGACATGGGCCTAAGTAGACATGTATAGAGCTTTTTCAAATTCCCTAAAGTCTAATAGATATTCTTCTGTAGAGCACACAGGACATTCTCCAAGACAAACTGCATGCTGGGTTACATAACATACCTCCACATAAAATCATACAGACTTTTTATCAACTATACCTCTCAACTATACCTATCATATCAACTATACCTATCAGACCATGATGAGTTTAAAATATGTTAATCACAAGCAGAAATGAGGGGGGGAAATCCTCAAACATTTAGAAATTAAACAACTCACTAGTAAGAAAAATAGTGTGTCAGAGAATATCAGGAAACATACAAAGTTTTCTAGAAACAAGTTTGAACAAAAATGCTAGCCACCAGAACACAAGGGACACAGCAAACATGATGTTACAAAGAAAGTTCTAGCAGTGAAAGCGTTCATTGTAAAGCTAAAAAAAAATCACATAAGCAATCTAACTGCACAATTTAAGCATCTAGGGGGAAAAATATAAAGCCAGCAGAAAGAAGAAAAAGTTAGGGCAGGAAATAATAAAATAGAACCCAAAAATGCAATCCAATATAAAGGAAATCAAAATTGCATCTTTGAAAAACTAAGCACTGTCCTCCTACTGTTCATCGATTTGCTCGAGCGGACACCAGTAACATCTCAAAACAAATTGTGAGACTTGTTACTGTTTTAGGCATATTGAATATGCCATGGGGAGCTTGCCAGGCTTTGCCGTATGGGTGGGATACTAGCAAACTTAATATCAATACATTATAAAGGTCTAGCCCACGTGCTCCTGTCATCAAAGACAGGCTCTGGACATAGAGCCCAGGACCTCGTGGGCTTCTCCCTGGCAGACTCAAGGCTCTAGATCAGGGAATCGCCCCGACTGATGTCATCTCTAATTCCCTAAACCCCAAATCACATAGGTGCTATTGTATATGGGACAGATTAAAGCTAACCTCTTCATACTGAAGCCAGAGGATGAATCAACCATACTTCACTGACCTTATGTAGTTATATAGCTCAGTCAAGCAAACATAGTGAATAGTTCAAAAGTCCTTTGTCAGAATCTAATAGCACTACATAGTATAGGAAAAACTCCTAAGAGCAGAGGTTTTATCAGTAAATAGTATTCTGGTCTAAACATATTAACACATCATTTCTTAAGTAACTGGAAATCTTAAACTCCAACAATAATGAAAATAAAACTCAAAGAACAATGGGGAAAGTGAAAAATCACCCAACTGCTGTATCAGACAGAGATAGAAACCCAAAACGATTAGGTTTGTTGATGAGGATCTGAACGCAACACTCACTACATTAGCAACAGAAACCAAGCAAGCACTGGCACATGAAATTAAGATGAGAAATTAGACAACTCAATGAATAACTGATTCAGAGGATGACAGATTCCATACAAAATGAACAGAAAGAACTAGAGAACACAAGAAAAAGCCATAGCGAGAACAGGTATAGAACCAAATAGATGAACTTAAAGACAAAATACAAGACAGCATTGATGGGTGCTGTACAAACATTTGGTTAGGCAGTCTGAGGCACTGAGACAAGGAACGGGAAAGAAATGATTCACAGAAGACCACAAGAATCGCTCAGGTCTTTTGATAAAGAGCAGTCTTTTCAGCCTCCTTTTATTTGCTGGCTTATTATAATCACATCCAATGAAATTAAATGGCATGAGAGGAATCACCAATGAATTTCAACAGCATGGTACAAGAACATGATCAATTAAAGGAAGAAAGACATAATCAGTTATAAAAAAAACATAGTCAATTATATAGGTCATGACCTCTTCATACCTGAAAACATAGTCAATTACATCACACCCTCCTCACACCTGGGGTCTCTGAAAACAGGAGAAGATATTTATAACTGAAGTTAGCTAGGTCTGAAACATGTGAGAAGGGAAAGCTGCTGCTTTGTGCTGCAGGAATTTGCTGGCCACAGAGAGTCAGTTTTGCCTTTTCCATATCAATCAGACTTTCAAGCTCAGGTTCGCCCACTTAGTGCAATGTGGGGTCCTGGTTCTGCTTCCTGCTTGCAGTCCAGAGTCCAAGGACTAATCTTTATGATATGGTTGGACACCAACAGATGGGGAACTGACAAAAAGAAGAGAATCACTAGATGGAAAGAGGATGTAAGGAATCTAATGGGTAACAGTATCACTGTACCACTGTATCACTGTCATCCTGTTGATCATGGAATTACTCGGGCAGGCGCCAGTAATGTCTCTTTACTACCAGCCCTGAGACTTTAGCAGCCTCTTCTTAATTGTCGTTTCCCAATGACTGAAGGCTTTTTTAGGGTTAGGGGAATGAGACCTATGGACTTCATGCCAGGCTGTGGGGCGGGTGAGAGCCCTCCCCAACCCCAAGAGACCCAGCCCCGACAGCTAACCTCCACTGCCCAACCACCTCCATACTCCAGACCACTTTCTGGACACATCATAAGACACTTCTACCCATTTATTCCTCTCAGAGAGCCAAGCAAGCTACTGAGAGTATCCCACCCGCACAGGTACAGCCTCGAAAGCTCCCCATGACATATTCGATATGCCAAATGCAGTAACAACAATAGGTCTCATGGGTAACAGTAAGAAGACCAATCTCCAAATATTAGGAATACCAGGCGAAGAGGAAGACGGGAACAGGATAGAACAAGAGGGGAGAAAGAACATAACTGAGAGTTTCCCCACTCTCTGGGGGGAGGCTGATATTTAAGAGGCCTAAAGAGGAACAAGCAAAATAAATCCAGAGAGAACAATGGCAAGATATATAGTGATCAAAATGGCAAAATGCAAAGACAGAGATAGACTCCTTAAAGCTTCAAGAGGAAATAGAAACTTTCAATATAAAGGAAACAACATTAGAATCACAACAGATCTCTTATATGAAACAGGAAAAAAAGTGGAATGACAGATACAAATTAATCAATGAAAAGAAAACATTCCATCTACAGTCAAATACCCTGCAAAAGCTCTATTTAGATGAGATGGAAGTACAAAAGCATTCGCAGACAACCAAGAGCTGACAGCATTTACTATA